GAATACCTTATTGTTCGTTAGTAGTTAAGCACAAAGCTACTCAAAGGGTTATCTGTGCTCTGCCCACCACGGGTACTGAAACCCGGTTTCTAGCTTTGTAGGTCCGCAGGCACACTGCTGTGCCACTGGGAGGCTCCGAATATTTTATCCATGTCACTTGTTTAGTTGTTTGTTTATTTTAGAGCAAAGCCACACTGGGCTATCTGCTACGTCCACAGCAGGTAATCGAACTCCTGATTTTATGGTTGTAAGCTCGTAAACTTACCACTGTTTCACCGGTGGATCCCATGACTCTTTCTAAGAAATCATAAGGGAGAAAATTATCACTAAATAAAAAAACTAGGTAGGACTGGCTATTGAATTTGAAAAAAGGAACCAAACAAGCTAGGGTGGAAGTGGACATATCACTTTATCGGCTAATGATCATATAGCAGACAAAGCTGTCTCGACTTACTTGGAGAATAAAACCTTTACATTACTGGCTTCCCCATTTTGTCTATCGAAAGCTTGGTGTTTGAATAGTCTCAGCTTTCATCATTATAACTTTCCTTCACTTAACTTTACAATAGTGCTTTTATGACTATTTCACAATAGAGTAACATTTTACCATTAGAAATTCTGGTTCTATTTGTTTTGCTAGACAAGAGAATCAAGTTACAAGTTTAGAGAGTATAAATGTCAAAGGAAATTTACGACCAAACTCAAACTTTAGCGGCAAACAATCGTGTTCGTGTAAACAGATGCGGACTAAGAAACCTCTTGTTTATGATTATTAAAAAATTACAGTGTTGAAGGAAAAAAAGATAATTCTAATAACTCACGAAATCATCAATTTTTGTGTGTAATAAATTAAATTATATTAGACAGTAAATAAACAAGCGTTAAAATCGAAATCGTAACAAAGAAACTAATTAAAAATAATAAATATTATAATTTAGTTTCTAACGAAATACTGCCTTAATCTCTTGTCGAAAAATTGTTTTTTAAACTTAATATTAAGTTT